CAAGTTTATACAAGTTAGTTTATAACTTATCAACAGCTTGGCTATGACTAATAAAAGGTTAGTTCCCAATAGAAGGGCTTGTCACTGTGAAATCATTAGCACGTAAACACTAAAAAGTGTTTGAAAAGTTAAAAGATTTGAACACGGGGAGATCAAAGCTATATATAAGATTTTGATTTGCGTATTATAATAAGGATAATCAAGTTTCCATGTTGCTGAGTATTTGAGACAGTACATGTATTTATTATTTTTTTGGTTAAAATAGATAAACAATTTATGTTTTAGTTCTCGACAATGGCGTGAAGTATACTACACCATATACCCAAGGAATGAATATCACGTGTTTATTCGACGAGCAGTCAGTTGAAATTCTTCCTCAACAACAAACAACTCATAGTACGAAAATGCCAATCACCACCGCCACCAGACTTACAACGACCACAACTACTGAAGCATCAGGTACGACGAGCACAGTAATAACATCATACAGCCCTTCAGAGTGTACATTTAACTATTATTTAATTATACTGGGATTTTAGTACTTTTTTTCTCTCCTTTGGCGAATCAGGAATTTTTCATTAAAAGGAAGGGGTCAGCACCAACTCCAAAAAATTCTAATCGGATTTTTTAATGCAAAAAAACCAGAAGTCTCTGACGAGACTGTAGCTCTACTGGTTGTATTTATAAAGGAAGATAAAAGTAGCACTTTGACTTGAAACTTTGCAACAGCAATAAACAGAATAATGATCCTTGGTTTAGTCTCTTTTGTGGCAAGATTTATTATTATATCAGACTAAAAGTGTAGGAGGAGTAGCCTTTTAAAACAATTTTACAGAAATTTTGATTTAAGTAACCATAGCAACATGATTCAACAAAATCAAAAAACAATAACACCAATTATGTATCTCTGTAGTCTACTTGTATGCCACATTATACTGAAATCAGACAAAAAGTGTAGGAGGAGTAGCGTTTTGAAAGTATTTCAAGAAAATTTCTACTTTTAGTAACCATGGCAACACCGTTCATTGAAATCCAAAACTGGTAAAGAGAATTATGTATCTTAGTTTAGTCTAATTGTGTGCTAAGTTATACTAAAATTAGACCAAAACTGTAGGAGGAGTAGCATTTTGAAGGTATTTCAAGGAAATTTCTATTTTTAGTAACCATGGCAACACTGTTCATCGAAATCCGAAATTGGTACAGAGAATAATGTATCTTAGTGTAGTTTACTTGTGAGCTAAGTAATACTAAAATCAGACCAAAACTGTAGGGGTAGCATTTTGAAGGTATTTCAAGGAAATTCCTATTTTTAGTAACCATGGCAACAATGTTCATCGAAATTAGAAAATCAATATAAAGAATTATGTATCTTAGTGTAGTCTACTTGTTTGCCAAGTTATACTGAAATCAGACCAAAACTGTAAGAGGAGTAGCATTTTGAAAGTATTTCACAGAAATTTCTATTTTTAGTAACCATTGCAACACCATTCATTGAAATCAAAAACCGATACACAGAATTATGTATCTTTTTATAGTCTACTTGTGTGCCAAGTTATATTGAAATCAGATAAAAATTGTAGGAGGAGTAGCATTTTGAAAGTATTTCACAGAAATTTCTATTTTTAGAAACCATGGCAACATCGTTCATTGAAATCAAAAACTGATACACAGAATTACGCATCTTAGTACAGTCTTCTTGTGTGCCAAGTTATATTGAAATCAGATAAAAACTGTAGGAGGAGTAGCATTTTGAAAATATTTCACAGAAATTTCTATTTTTAGTAACCATGGCAACACCGTTCATCGAAATCAAAAACCGATACACAGAATTTCGCATCTTAGTATAGTCTACTTGTGTGCCAAGTTATATTGTAATCAGATAAAAATTGTAGGAGGAGTAGCATTTTGAAAGTATTTCACAGAAATTTCTATTTTTAGTAACCATGGCAACACCGTTCATCGAAATCAAAAACCGATACACAGAATTTCTCATCTAAGTATAGTCTACTTGTGTGCCAAGTTATATTGAAATCAGATCAAAACTGTAGGAGGAGTAGCATTTTGAATGTTTTTCACAGAAATTTCTATTTTTAGTAACCATGGCAACACCGTTCATCGAAATCAAAAACCGATAAACAGAATTTCGCATCTAAGTATAGTCTACTTGTGTGCCAAGTTATATTGAAATCAGATCAAAACTGTAGGAGGAGTAGCATTTTGAATGTTTTTCACAGAAATTTCTATTTTTGATAACCATGGCAACACCGTTCATCGAAATCAAAAACCGATACACAGAATTTCGCATCTAAGTATAGTCTACTTGTGTGCCAAGTTATATTGTAATCAGATAAAAACTGTAGGAGGAGTAGCATTTTGAAAGTATTTCACAGAAATTTCTATTTTTAGTAACCATGGCAACATCGTTCATCGAAATCAAAAACCGATAAACAGAATTATGTATCTTAGTATAGTCTACTTGCGCGCCAAGTTATATTGAAATCAGATCAAAACTGTAGGAGGAGTAGCATTTTGAATGTTTTTCACAGAAATTTCTATTTTTAGTAACCATGGCAACACCGTTCATCGAAATCAAAAACTGATACACAGAATTATGTATCTTAGTGTAGTCTACCTGTGTGCCAAGTTATATTATTGAAATCAGACCAAAACTGTAGGAGGAGTAGCATTTTGAATGTTTTTCACAGAAATTTCTATTTTTAGTAACCATGGCAACACCGTTCATTGAAATCAAAAACCGATACACAGAATTATGTATCTTAGTGTAGTCTACTTGTGTGCCAAGTTATACTGAAATCAGATCAAAACTGTAGGAGGAGTAGCATTTTGAAAAATTGTTTACAGGCGGACGGACAGACAGACGGACGGACGGACACCTTACTATTGCATAAGCTCTTCTGGTCTCTGACCAGTAGAGCTAAAAATGACTACACCAGAAGACCTTTGTCAAAGGTGGAGAACCTGCTTTATATTCATAATTTCATATGTTTACATTTTTCCAAAGGGGCATTGTTACAAAGTGTTTTGAATAAGTTTGTTTATGACCTGCATATGGGGTTTTTGTCTCCCAGTTGATTCTATATGCAAAGGCATGTTCTACGTATGAACAATTTCTAAAACGAGACAAGCTATTGAAAAACAAGTTGATGGATGAATCAAGAATAATTATGAACAGTCTCGTTAGTCATTATTTCGCAAGTTATTTGGTCGATACAATGACCTTGTCATTAAACAAATCCTATCATTTAGTTGAATGCTGACTGACGTTTTTTTTTGCCCCCGGATCGAAGATTCGGGGGTATATAGTTTTTGCCCTGTCCGTCCGTCTGTCTGTTTGTCCGCAAAAACTTTAACATTGACCATAACTTTTGATTGGTTGAAGCTATGGCTTTTATATTTCACATGTGTATTCCTTGTGAGAAGACCTTTCTTTGGGTATCATCATATTTGCCTTGACCTTGGAGTTTGACCCAGTTTTGGAAAATTTTACCAAACTTTTACCTTGGCCATAACTTTTGTACGATTAGAGCTAGGGCTTTCATACTTCACATGTGTAATGCTTGTGAATAGACCTTTCTTTGAATAGCAACACCTTTGACCCTTTGACCTTGACCTAGGAGTTTGACACACTTTTGAAAAACTTTAACCTTTGCCATAACTTTTGAATGATTGGTGCTAGGGCTTTTATACTTCACATTTGTCATCCATGCGACAAGATGTTCCTTTGAATAGCAACAACTTTGACCCTTTGACCTTGACCTAGGAGCTTGACTTACTTTTGAATAACTTTAACCTTGGTCATAACTTCTGAACGATTGGTGCTACGGCTTTCATATTTTACAAGTGTATTTTGTGTTACAAGGTCTTTCTTTGGCCACCATTAATTTTGACTTTGACCTTGATGTTTGACTGACTTTTGAAAATTTTTATCCTTTTCCATATCTATTCAATGGTTGCTGCTAGGGCTTCATATTTCACAGGTATATTCCTCGAGATAACACCTTACTTTGGGTACCAACATATTTGATTTGGATTTGAGAAAGTTTAACCTTTGCTAAAAGTTGCCATACGGGGGCATTAGTGTTACACAAACAAATTTTGTTCATACTGGTTGTTGGGCCATTATTTTCAAATTGAATTGTCTGCAGATTTTTCCCATTCATGACAGGGAACACACGGCGGCTGTGACCGGTCGGCAGGGGATGCTCACTCCTCCATGGCGCCTGATCCCACCTCTGATATTTTTGGAGGTCTGTGGTTGCTTTGCTCCTGATAGTATATTGTTGAAATGGACTTTGAGCTTGAATACTGTTCCTTATCTCTATATTCCATGTTTACATTTTCTCAAAAGGGCATAGTTACAAAGTGTTTCGAATAAATTAGCCGTGTTGCACACGTAAAAATTGAATTGTGTACGGAAGAGAAAATAACTATAATTATAAAAATTGTAATGCTTGTATTTTGTTTTGTATATGTAAACAATGTCATTTAACTTCCATACATATGCATATTAATGGTTTAGATTAATATCGATTCATTTTTCTTTTTCACAGATGCTTCTCCGTCGGGACAAAGTGGAGAGAGCGGGCAAACAAAGCCAGCATGCACGGTTGCTGTAATCTCCATTTTGTGCATCTTATGCTTTATTTACAGAGATATTTTTATTTGAAAACAATCGGATATGAAAGGTTCACGTATCCCTCGTAGTAGGCTCATGTATATCTCGACATATTACTGGCTGAAACCTGGTGATATTTTCTTTCATCCATTTTGTTCAAAAGACGCGTGTGTAGCTTTTCTGTTGAATCCGGTATACGAAATCAATAGTTGTACAAAACACGATCAGTATGAATGTGAATGAAATAGTTTTTTGAAATGAGAGAATCTGGCTTAGGAGAATGTTGCTTGCGCACATTTCTGACGGAAAATTAGTGCCTTTGCGAATAAAAATAAGAACCCTGAAACATTTTGGCAAATATAAAAACCAAACAGAATTCTGATAGATTTTTTTTACTTAGCTTCAGATCCTTAATAAATTAAGAAATCTGCAAAGAAAGTATCAAGAAAACATTGACGTATAAGTAAAAAAAAAAAAAAAAAATGGTGATGAGAAACGATCGAATTTAAGTATTTTTTTACCACAAGGCAAGGAAAGCAACATTGTTGTATGACAGTGGTGTAAATGTAGCAGAAAGAAGAAATACGTAACTGATTATAAAACCAATAAGACCTAAAAAGCTCCCTGCAGAAAACTTGCTTTTGAAAATGGAAAGTAAGAACAACAAGTTTGGCTTTCCAGAAAGCCTGAAATGTCATCTCTTTGGCTTCATTAATGTCACAGAATAAACAGTGGAATGTTATATTATTTTCTCAGCTATTACAGGCAGTAGTATCGCTTTTGAAAAAATGGGGGGGGGGGTGGAGGACAAAAAAAAATCGACGATTTATCTGAACAATCTTTGACAAGGGAAAAAAGGGGCTATCCAAACTCAACATTTTCATTTCTTGGAAGGGAAGGAGGGATTACAACTTTTCCGACAAACATATTTTAAATTATAATACATTCTCATTTGATGATTTGACGTACCATACTGCAACAAAAGGTGGAAGAGGGGTCAAGGGTGCGCCTCTTCAATGTTTGGTGCTATGTGCCTGTATTATTTTACCTGTTGTAAATATGCTTTATTCAGTTTAAATATATTTTGTATAATGTCTGAAAAAAATTCTAACCACTGAATCAAGCACGTTTCAAAGCTATTAGAAATTTAAAACAAAAACTGATTTATTTACCGATTCAGATTTTAATTAACAGACACAGGTTTGTTTGTTTTTTTTAATCAGTCGAACTATGGAAACATGAGGTTATTCAAGTTCAAAATCGGTGAAAAATTAATTTCAACGTAAATAACATATATCATGTTTAGTTACACCCAATCTCGTATTTTTATTTTTTAGCTCAGATACGCCATATATAGCTTTAACAATTATTCCGAAAGAGAAGATGGATAAAAACTTAGCGTTCCTTTTGACTTTAGATCTTAGCCGCCTACTACGGCAGCAAAGAAGTTTTAAAGCGCCAACTTAAAATAATCTGAATCTGAATTAATTCTCAAGACTTTCCTTATTTTCCTCAATCGTATCCTCTGAAGTGACTTGGCCATCGAGCCACTGGGATTTGATTGATTATCGAGCCACTTTGAAAATCAAGGAAAAAATTGAGACACTCATCATGCCCCTCTGCTGCCCATGCAGATTCATGTTCTATCGCTATATTATGTATAATATAAGTACATGTACATGTATACGCTCCTGGGAAAAAATCATGCATAGAAAGCATAGAAAGGTAATAAAATTAAAACGTTACCATTTAAAATTAAGTATTAACACACCGAAAAGAACCCTAATCTACCAACATTGATTTTATAGGCTGTTCCATGAGACACACATTTAAAATTTAAAGTTTTGGCTTTATTTCAAGAATACGAGGAATGATTTTTTTTTTTTTACCTTTTCTCGTTGACAAAAAAAGCAAATTAGAATTGCATAAAGAAAATTATAACAGTTGCTTTCTTTATTAATTCTTAAATTCTGGGCCAGGTAAAAAAAACTATTTATACTTTTCTTATACTTTTCTACAGGGGTAAATTTAAATAAAAAAGAATAAAGTGCACACATCCGAGAATTAAAATACTCATATAATGATTCTTTATGATCTTTATTCCAATGCCTGCAGCACTGAGTTACTTAAACCAGAGACATTTATGTTTCTGCCTAAATTGTGCTTTTAGGTAAAATTTCTTTTCTTCGAAATTTATTTATTTATTTTGAATAAGTTCTGTTTTATTTTTCATATATATATATATATATATATAGGGCATTAATTATCGATTGACTAAAGTGCACATAAAAGTAAAGTTTTTGCCATTGTATATATGCATTTAATGTGAGTTGTTATTTATATGTTTTCACTGTTTTCTTTCGTCGGTAAATCTTGGATCCACGCCTTGGCTTATACATTCAATATGCCATGTTTTGTGTATATTGATCCCTGCGCGCTGACCATCGTTTTACGCAATAGCCTAGATACAATGTTTATGTGTATAAACCGTTAATGAAGACCCACCACCACCCAAGTGATCCTACCTCTATTACTCTTAATGAACACTGGTGTAGTTTTACTTTAAGATGGACCATTTTGTTTAATAATAATAAGACAGACTTTGGTCAATTTTGTTTACATCTCTATATTTAGAAATCGTGTCATCGTCAGTTCCTTTGCCAGACCACCAGCTTATCAATGGCAGCTTACACTAGGGCTTCACTTCCGGTGATTCAAACTTAATGTGTCATCTCCCGAGGGAGATGACAAAAAAGTGAGAACAGATGGAGAGGTGCGAGGACGGAAAACTAAGTCGCTTTGACAGACTGCTTGACAGTTTTGAGAAATCCATTGAAAGTCTTTATCATACTTTTAATAGAAATCTTATAATAAATGATGTTCATGAGAGCAATGTAAATCACATAGGTACATGTACCAGTTCTGATTCAGCAGACGCGCATTTCGACAAATTACATGTATGTCTCTTCCGTGATGCTCATGTCAAACGTTGGAAGTCCGAAATATTTAAACAGGAAAAAAACCTTTTAAATCAGTTAAAAGTAAAAAAAAAAAAAAAAGCTGAAAAGAGGGCGCCAAAGACTGGAGCCAAATACGTCGAAGGATCAGGGTTATGCATGAGGGAGATAATCCTTAATTTTGAAATAAATTTAAGCAATGTTGCACATTGGCTTCTATTTTATTGTATTTTATTTTTTTTTCTGGTTGTTATTTAACTGTTAAAAGTAGTAAAAGAATATCTTGAACTCATTAACTCTAATGTGTTAAAGTTAAACGACCTTTATTAGTTTATATGGATACTTATACATGTATAAACATGATGAACTAAAGTTCTAATGTATGTTATTTACCCCACAAATGACATTTTGTCTGGAAGTTAATAAGAGATAGAGAGAATGAGGTGTTTTAATTGTTATTGTTTGTTATTTTTGTTTAAATTCTAATTTTGTTAACTTGAAGAAAAATATTCAGTAACAAGCAAAATTTAACCATCTTGCTCTTTTTTATTCTGTACTAAAACGATAATTTCCATGAGCAGATAATTGTGTCTTCACTTTCAAGCAAAAAGTTATGTTAGTCTTAAAACAAGCTGTTGCCCTTCTCTGCATTCCATCTCTTCTATTGGGTACACATTTGGATAAATCTTTGTTTGTAGCAACTTATCCGGAATTCTCAGTTTCTACCATACTGGTTCTACAAATAGTGTGTAAAAGCGTTTTCAGTTAGTATCCAACAATATTACGGTAATGCATCACAAGAGAATCTCTCTTACTTTTACTATATCATAAGACTTTAGAGACAATGATAATTCTAAGGACACTCTTACAGTTCGTCATACAGACAACAGTAACTCTTATAATCAAGTTAACATAACCAAAAACAATCGCCGTACAAAATATAAACAAACATTCTATAAATAAACAAGCATTCTGAGAGTATTGCATGAGCAATACTAGTCCCCTACCGGCAAGTGTAATCTGGTTCTGTTCCCGTTAAGAATTGAAAATGCCATAATTCCTTCAAAAATTAATGAAGCGGGACGAAATGCAAACTTGATCTATAACTAATCAAGGTAAAGCCACATACCAAAAACCAGCTCAATATCTACAAGCGTTTAGAAGAAAATTGCGGAAAACCTGTAAAAATTGAAAAGGCCGTAATTCCGTCAAAAATCAATGAAGCGGAACGAAATGCAAACGTGATCTGTAACTCATCAAGATACACTCACATACCAAAAATCAGCTCAATATCTGCAAGCGTTGAGGAAAAAAGTGCGGAAAACCAAGTGGGACAGACAGACGGACAGACTCGGAGGAAACCTATAGTCCCCTCCGGTTTCACCGGTAGGGGACTTATAAAATCTTTGTAGGGGAAATAACCTAGGAATGTAGGACAAAATGCAAGTTGGCAATGCAGACACAACAGTATGCACCGAGATACAATTGTCTTGAGTGATGTACGGTTATTTCTTGTAGTCGCCGATTCAGTTTAGTTGTTCAGATAAGAAAACTGGATTAAATCTCTTCTGACGTATGTTTAAACGAGCGTTATCTTTGAATGGAGCGACCAACCAGGCTTTTAACAGTTTAAGGATATGCACTCTTCTATTATGTATTTATTTATATATTCCCAACAATCAAATTGAAATTGAATTACAAGAGCAGGCCCTACGTATGACCGAGTTCTAAAACGAAACAAGCTACTGACGAACGAGTTGATTAAACAAGAATGTCAACAGTCTCGTTTTAATTATAAAGTCAACATTTCGCATGATCTATGGTCGATACATTAAATATTATTAATATAGTATATTCAGTATTGGCTGATTGATTGTATGTTGTTTCACGTCCCATTTGAGAATTTTTCACTCATAAAGAGACGTCACCATACACCAGTGAAGGGCTTCAAATTAAGACCTCTACTCTTGAACAGTGAGGGTTCTTTATCGTGTCAACGCCTACCGTGACTGGGCCTCGGTTTTTAAGGTCTCATCCGATGGACCCGCAACTTTCACTTCAAAGTGCCGAGAACTTGGCGAAGAAACAATTGCTACCTATTTTTTATCGACTTAGTCGCGGCCTTGATTCGAACACACAACCATCCGATCACGGATCGAGCGCTCTTCCGACTGATCTACCGTGACGGTGAGTATATTAAGTAAATTTTTGTGTAGCATACCACATTTAACTTCGTAGACCAGTATTGATTCCATCTATTGACTCCTTCATTTTTAAGTCATCTATTGCCTCCTTCATATTTAGGTCATAGGCGCATTCTCTGCACCAGTGTGTTCAAGGGCATGGCGTTGGCGTGGTGACAAGGCAGGTGTATATCCTGTTGCTGAAAATTTTCCTTCAAAGCAAT